TTGGACTTGAGGAATGCAGTTGGGAAGCATTTTAAACAAGAAATAAAACCAATAATTAATAATTTCCTTTGTTCACTGTTGGTTGTTTTATTTGTTTAAAGTAAACCAACAAAAGGGTTCATCTTTTTTATGTTGTCATTTATCTGTAATGTTTTAATGTTAAGTGTGATAACATGCTCTTGATTTGTATTAGATTTTTTTTCTTTTAAATATCTTAAGTTATTTCAAATATTTTATTTTTTCATGTTTATATTTTTATTATCTTAAGTTGTTAAAAATTCCAGATTTTTCTATCATAATATTTATATTTATGTGTATTGTATTTATACAATTTTATTTTGTCATTCATTCTTTTGTATTTTTTATCATTTTGTATTGTCTTAAGTTGTCCAAGTTGTTAAAAATGTTATTTTTCTTAATAAAAGCTGTATGTATGTATTGCCATTTTGTTGTCTATTAGACATATATGTAGTCCTTTAATAGCGGTCCAATTGATGAATCCACGGGATTCCACTGAGCTGTCAACACGGCTGTTATCCGTCAGAATGGAACGATAACAGCTTTGCATGCTTATTTATTTTTATTTTTTTGTAGCTGTCGTTATAATAATTTATTGGGAAAACATTTTTAAAATGCACCTACAAAGAAGAGCAATAAGACAGCATTATAATCCATGCAACCTTTCTTTCTGGTTTTATGACAGCTTTACCTAGTTACCAGAAGCGGAACATTAGAACATTACAATCTAAAATTGCTCTTTAAGGCATTAAAATCACTAAATTTAAAAGTTAAAATCACTAAATTAAAAATGAAAATAACTAATAAAGAAAAAGACTGCATTTTAACTGGTATAAGATACACACAGTAACTCATTTGAGCTTAGTAATTAGGACTGTACTAGCTTACATTTGATTTACCCATTACAATAGTCACTTTACAGTTACTGCTATCATACAAATGCACTTATATGTATAGGTTTAAAATTCTACAAAAGGCACATTTAATGTCCAACAACAAATATTTTAGTAAAATTTATATTTTATTGCGCTACTATTCGATTATGCTCCATCTGTTTAGTGTGCATGTGCGCAGCAGAGCTCATTCGCTCGCGTAAGCCTCGCCCACTCCTGACAGCAAATGGATATATTTGCATGACTTTCTAACATTTACAGATGAAAAATATACCTGTGACATGTCAGTTATGCACTGAGGAAAACACATCTCAAATGCATTAAACATCACGAATATATTGGCTGTTTGCCATGGTGAATCGATTTAATCAAATTAGTGAGATTGTGTGAACTTTATTTGTCGATTATGGAACCGTTTTAGCCCTGATTGATTTGTTACGTTATTTCATTTCGGGCTTTTCTTAGCATCTTAACAGGCCTCAGGTCTCTGTAGTGTTGTGATGCATCATATTTATGCAGCTGCAATGAGAGAACGCACTTGAGAAAGAGTTTAGAGAGGAGAAATCAATCTACATATAAAATATTGGTGACAGATTATTGGTCACTTTCTAAATAATAAAAGTGTAGTACATTCACTAATAATTAGGATATTTGTGGCATTCAACAGAGTGTTTTTCATTTGTTAGCACACCCAACATGGGCCTTATCCACCACTTTTGTCAAAGCATTAGTGTCTTGTGTTGAGAGTACAAAAGCAGAATAAAGAACTCACCTTTGTTTCTTCACAGAACTAGGACAATATATTTATTTGTGTGGAGACATAACTGACTTTAATAAAAAACTGTT